CTGAATTTGACTCAATCCATGGACAAATTTAATACATAGGAAGATAGAAGTACATGACCAGACCAAGACAATTCTGTTGCATAATATTGTCGGGAATTATTATTATAATTATAATTGACATATATAAAATAATAAAATTAAGATTCAATAAATCAATAAATGATTAATTTAATTAATTAAATTTATTTTTTAAAAAAAAAATCTTAAGTTTGCATATTGTGAGTGATCATTTATTGAGATCATCTCAAATACACGATTTACAATCATATGTCTTAAACTGTTAAGTATGATATATCTTATTTTAATCTAAAGATTAAGTAACTTATCTATCTTTAATTTTTTTTTTACTAAAAGAATTAAGAATCAATAAGAGTAAAAAAAAAAGTGATAATTTTGATTGTTTTGAAATTCCATAACCATATATAAAATATGCCCCTCTAAAGGTAAAGAAGAATAAACTCAATGGTATATCCATACTTTAATTAAGAAAATTGACAAGCCTTCATATTCTTCACAATTAAAAAGTTAAAAGGACATACATATTTGATCACATTCTTCCATTACTAAATTTCATTCCAGTTACAAATGGAATGCCAATTCCCTCATTTCTCATTCCTCAAACCATTCATAAGCTAAATTCTTGCACTTTCTTTTTATGATTTAAAAAAAAAAATCAATTACATAACATCATATTACATTTATTAATTAATTTAATTTAATTTTTTAACCCCGCAAGCAAGTAGGCTTATAAAATTACTATATGTATTTATTTAATAATTAAATAATTTATTTATTTTTTAAATATATCTTAAATAAACATGCATTAGCTAGATGGTAATCTTATATATATTAATCAAAGAAAATCTCCAAATTTATTCACCTTTCCTCTTATGTTATACGAAATGAATTAAGTACAATCAATATCAGAAATTCTTAAATCAACAGCTTATTTCAACTATTCAAATTAATAACAATAACCTAAAAAACGCAAAATTTTGGTCCTTTTCTTTTGATCAAGAAATAAAAAAAAATAAAAAAAAAGAAAGAGGCAGGTTGGGCAATTATTCTGAGTTGTTCTTATCCTCAGCACAAGACGCATCAATCACTTTTAGTGGGTCCTTAGCATTTTCCCTCTGAGATATGCTTCTATTCTAATGCTATAAATGCCTCTCCAATCCATGTCATGGATTCTATTACTAATGGTAACTGTTTTTTTTTTTTTTCATTTCCTCGAAATTTTTGTCCACTTGCTCCCCATTCCACCATGAAAACTAAGCTTTAGGGGTGTCATTCAGGATAGGGTGGGAACCCACCATTGATGAACTCTGCCAATGCCATGATGTGATCAAATCCCTTTGCTATATATATCCCTCTCTCCCATTTAATTTGTACTTAATGGCTAATAGTCGTTAGGTTACCCACATCACCAACTAATTAGTTTCATGGTAATCTTTTAAATATCATTTTGAAGCGAAAAGCAATAAGTACATACAAAATAAAGAAATAAACGAATCTAAATAAAATCTAGCAAAGAAGGTTAATTAGGATCATGAATATATACGAGATAAAAACTATATATGCTAGAATAAAATGTAAACATGCATTACATTCTCCTTAGGAATATGAAGATGATGATATTTAAATGTAAAATTATTCATAACTTATGAATTTCACACAAGATTCAAATTTGAGATTTAGTCGCCCATAAGATATATAATTAAATAAATTTAAAAATCAAATTTTGATATTGACTATTTTTTTATTAAAAAAATAAAAAATTCACTTTTTGTCTAAAAATCTTAATCTTTTCATTTTAAAAAATTTAAAATTAAATATTCAAATTGCAATTTTAGATTTTAATCATTAAAATGTACTATGAAAGATAATCCCATATATATATATTAATTTTATTTTGAAATGAGGTTGAAAAATGTAAAAATATATATATGTTACAACATTCAATTTAACACTAATTAAGAATAGGTGCGGGTCTAGGCTAGAAACTTACAATATGAACAAGGGTTGCATTTATTTCAAGAGATTGATCATGGAACTTCCTTTTATTCCAAGAAATAGGCTTGAAAATTACACAGTGTAACAGTAAAAAAGAGAAATATAATATTAAAAAAAGGTTTCATAAAAAAATTGATGTTGAATTTTTAAAATTTTTGTCAGGTAAGTCTTCCATGGATATAGTTTTTTACTTATTTAAAGCTGCCTTTTTAAAACCTTTAGATCACTCTGACCATTATATTGTCCTACTAAAGTCTAGAACGGTGGACTGGTTATTCAAAGCCAACCATTCAATGTGTGGATGTTTCCAGGTTTTGCCTATTTTTTTTAAAATGAATTATCATGAACCTTTTTTTTTTCTGGCCACATATTTTTCTTTTGTTTTTTTTTTTTTTAATCTGTGGCTCAACGTTTTCGGGAGATTTCATTAATTAAAAGTCCAAGAATTTATAATGGAAGGCAAAAAGTACACACTAAAGCAGACAAAAGCACGTACGGGCCTTTCTTTTTTGGTTCATTGGGGTATTGTTCTAATCTCAACCTTCACATGGAAATACACGATGGGCGAGGTTACCTGAACCTTATTTAGTTAAGGCTAAATTGAATTTTTTTTTTATGCAACAAGAGATAATAATCTTCCATCCTTTATGAATTTTCATTTTTTCTATCTAATCAAGAGGTATCTCTCTGGGTCTTTCTGCTTTTAGATGTACGATATTGTAAGGAAAAATACTAAAGCGATTGATGGAAATAGATCTAATAAGGATTGTGTTATCTATTTAAATTTTAAAAATATTTAAATAAAAAATTAAAATTTAATTTGAATATAATTATATAAATACATATATATATATGTAAATTTTTATTTTTTTAATTTAAATTAAATTTTAAAAAATAAAAATAAAAATATCATATCAAAATCAAATTAAATTTAAATAATTATATAAATTATTAATATTAAATATATACTTAACTCTAACCCGATCCATTTCATGAACACTTCTTATTAAAAGAGGTTGAAATGGTAAGAGAGTGCTTTTTGGGAAGGTTTAGACATCAGTTGAGGACCTGCCAATGACGGCAACGACAATATTAATCACCGGTCGATTTTCGAGTTCCGACACGGACGTCAGTTGAATGAAAAGAACTAGAGAGAGACGGAGAAACTTGTGAGAGAAACAAAAAGAAACAACACATAACGTGGATTGCCATGTGGCATTTTTTTTCTTAGGTGGTATGCCATGTGCCACACTCAACAGCTTCATCTCTTTTTCATTAAAATTGGGTCAAATTGATCTCAAATAAAAGTTCAGATGAAACTGATCCAAATGAGTTCGATACAGCCACCATTTAAGTTTGAAAAAGGAAAAGGAACTCCATCATCACATCTGGATTATTTTCAATGGGATGATGAACGAGCAAATGAAATTCAGAAAATCTAGAAGGGAAAGGGTAGTTGATTTCTAGAATAACAACTCCTACAAATCAAATATATTAACAAAATAAGTCCATTTTTTCATCAACCAACCAATTCGTTTTTTCATAGATGATGAGTTACTTGGAAAGGTTTAAAACTAGATAAGGCTTAGAAAGTCAATAATCTCATCAATCTATGGGTGGACTTGGTCAGCCCAATGCACACATTTAATGGCAAAAGGTGGATTAGGAGGGAGGGGGTAACCCCTAAATAATTTTGGATTTTTCGTTAAACCCAAAATAAATTCACAATTTTGTGAAAAAGTTTAATAATTTTGTTCAAGACGTGACATCTTTTATTTGACAGTTGTGAAAATGTCTGAATAATGAATAAGTGGACTAGTGCATAGGCGAAATGGAGACTAGCCCAGGAAAATTGTATGATTAAGTTTTTAAGCAGCAAGGTCAGCAACAATAAATGCCAAAGACAACTTAAGTGAAGCAGCAAGTGTCCTGTTCAAAATCAAGAAGATTAAAAGCCAGGGCATTAATTAACCACCTTAGTGTAAAAAAGACTTTTGGTTCATTCAAGGCTGGTGGAAAAAACTTGTTTCCCTTGTTTCATCATTTATTTTGTTCAATTGCTGGTTAAGAAATTATGTTCTGAATGGTTTTAAGCAGCAGATATATCTTGTTGATGAACTTTTGCTGTGATACACTTTTTTAGGCTAGGTGAGGATAAAGCTTGTCGGAGGTCGAGTTAGTGAGAATGTCAAACTTATCACAGAGAAAAAAGTTTGAGAGCAGTTGTTGAAGGTTGAACTTGTGAGCGTGTCAGACTTGTCATAGAAAAAAAATTAGAGGGCGACGGAGATAATAATTCGGGACACATCTAAATTTCAATGTTGAGAGTTTAGAATGTTTTCAAGTCTTTGTTTCATTCTCTCTTTTATACCTCATGAACAATAAGATAGTTAACCAGACAAACGATTTTGTGTCTTGAAATCATGTGTGGATGCTGATGAAATGACTGCCAAAATGTTCATAACGTGGCTACTGAAGTATACCAAACCTGAAAGTGCTAAAGAAAGCTGGTAAAATGCAGTACTAAGTTGCATAAATCTTCTAGCAGCAGCTTGATAGCTGCTTTTAGATATGGACCGCAAGTTGTTTTGGTGAACCTTGCTCTGGATCCATTTTCCATTTTTAATTACTTCTAAATCCAAAATCATGGGTAATGACATTTGTGCATAGACAATGAATTCTTATTTTTAATTTTAGGTTGAAGATAAAATGGAAACTATGAACATAAACCACTATGCATTTGAATAACATTGGACGTTAATGGATTTTAAAAACTTTTGGCAGTTCCAATAAATTGGATTGTTCAGGGATTGAGGTGTGACAAAACTACAGGCATATTCCATTTATCTTGCTGAAAATGGTAGGCACCAATGTCAACAATGAACCATCTATCAGCACTTGAATTTGTTTCATACTTTCAATCACCTAATCTCAATCATTCCATCATAATCATCTATCCAAACTTGTTATAGTTTCTAAGGGGGTTCTTGCCGGTCAGAAGAATCTGTTGCTATATTCACATTTCTAAACATACAATTAGGGGAGTAGCGATTGAAGGAACAAAATCTAAAATACTTTTCCAGAAACTACATGATTTGAAAACTATGATAGCTTGTTGACAATATCATGTTGCCTTGATTATTGGAATGACTATCAATTTTGAATCAATGGAAGGGACAAACCTGTAGCTAGCAATGTTTGGAGGGATAATATACAAGGTTACAAGCTATGAACAAAGAGATCCAAAAGAATCGAGAAATCAACGTGGGCTTCAAGGCACCATGTCAAAAGCTGGAAATATGATTTGATCCTACGTCTGACCGTGCAGTAGAACTCTCAAGATTGAATGCAAATGACTTTGCCAGATCAACGGCATCCTGAACTCTAAGTCGGGTCCCCTGTTGCCCGACAACTGTGGCTGCAATCCTAGCTGCTAATGTACCCATACCTTTCAAATCCGAGATGCCTCGTAATATGCCATACAAAATACCAGATGCATATGCATCACCAGCACCACATGTGTCCACTGGTACACATGGAGAAGGAGGAACATATACAGCTTCACCTCTTACACCTATGTAAGAGCCTCTACGTCCATCTGTAACTGAGACTAGGGGCACAAAGTGGCTGAGATACCTTGTTGCCGAAATAGGGCTTTGCCTTGAGGAAAAATGACATAGAGCTCTTGCTTCCTCACTGTTTGCAAACACAATATCTGCATAATTCCCAACAATTTCCCTGAACAAGGCGAAGAAATTAATATTTGAGAGCTAAATCAGATTTCCACAGAACTTGACATGTACTGTCCTCAAGGCTACCATGAATGCATTCCACAACAGAAGTAAAATCATGATAATAAGAATCAAATACAACTGAAAACTGTTTTAAACTGTAAACTATATCAATCACCCTGTAATATTGCCAATTTCCACACATTTAAGTGAGTTTCTCCTCTAACAAGCAGTTTTCCAATTTCCCGAAGCTTGTAACATTTCACAATTATTATCAACAGATGGAAACGACCACAGGCATCTGACCTCTCTCACGAGAATTGGAACTTTTTTTACTTTGTTAGGCTTCAAATTCAAGCCAGGTCCATCACATTTTGTCAGATTCTCAACTTATTCAAGAACGCCAGAATACTACGTATGAAGAAACCAATAATTGACCTTGTCTTTAGTATATTACATAGCTTCTCCCATAAACCAGTTATGTGAAGAACAAATGAATTCTTTTATCCAGACAAATATACTTTCCAGTAAAGACATGTTCCAAAAACATTAACCACAATGAATACAGCTCATTTTGGTCAAGTAAACTACTTTCCAACCACAGAGGATTGATACAAGGTTTAGCTACCAACACAAAAAGCTCCAAAAAACTAAAATGTGTATCGCAATGTGCCTAAGGTTCAACTTTCAGGTAAAACCAGATTTTTAAAGTCATGGAACATATAAGGTTGACCAAAATAGATAACAAACTTACCAGAAATCATCATAGTGTCTCTCAATGCAGGAGACATCTGATGCTGTAACTGCTACCAGGGCACCACTCCTGCGAGCTTCTTCACATGCCTTAATAATAGTTTTGATTGTATCAGGAAATTCAAATAAATAGCCCTCAACAACAAATATATTTGTCTTGGAGACTATGCCAGCCAAGCAAGAATCATAATTAATAGTCGATGATGTACCCTAAAAAAAAGGAAAGAAGTTACTTATTAAGGATCTCATGCAGTTCACTTCCCATACCATACACAAGCTGAAAAGAAAATTAGGACATCAAAGAGTTTCTGACCCAATGCTGTTTTCAAGAAATTTTGTGCAAGGGAAAATGTGTTGCGGCATGGACAGGAGTAGCTTGAACAAAAAATTTTATTTGTAAGATTATTATGTTTGACCATCTAAGGCATAATTGAAATTTTTATAAATATTATTTGGGCACTTTTATAGTTTTTGGTATTTTACTTATTTTCCAAGTACTATGGCATTAAGGATAGCTATAAGTACCTATGTTATTTCAGTTTTAAATAGGTTTCAATTGATGGATTATTGAGACTTTGGATTATGGCAAAACAACAGCAGAAGCTGATGTACAAAAGTAAGCAAATAAGGAAGCAAAAAGTAGATCCTGGATCCTGTTTGCATGCATCTTCTCCATAATTTAGGGGTAATAAACAATATTCAGTTAAATACAAAAAGAAACATTACTCTCACTTATAACCCGTGTGAAGTGAAAAGCACCATTGAAAAAGAAGCATCATATATTCTTTAACAATAGAAATGAAGCAGGGATGTACATCTAATAAATATGAAAAGCTCACAAATGCTTGCTTCCAATTTGCAACTCAATGCTTAAGTGATTATGCATGTCTGCAATATAAGTAACATAATTACAATATGTTTCCCTTCTAATAATTTAATCTAATGCCCAGAAACGAAAAAGTAGCAAAGACCAAGAGTGCTAGTCGGATATCTTAACAGAGAATAAATGTATCAATCATAACTGAACTGAACCTAAATAGGAAACAAGACCATAAGCTTCAAATTTATGTAACTTTCAGGGATTGTGATAAGTTTATAGTCAAAGAAATTTAACCTGATAAGCAAGCATTGTGCGCTGAGCATCTGGAGTTGTGAGAACTATCACTGTTCCAGTTGTTCCATCCTTGATAGGTTCAGAAAGAAAATTCACATTTGCTCGATGTAATTTTGCCCTAAATACATCAAGAAATTGGATATTTAATTTAACAAGACCATTACAAATATCTAAAAGTGTTAAATAGCCAAATTTTAATTGCAGTTAGTGATTGGTCAGTTTAAGAGCAATCGCAGATCTATGTGTGGTGCAGCTACAAGAGGCATTGATCATTGTGGTGATACTGAGTTCTATTAAAAAATGGCACTCGAGGTATCAGATTCGGACATGTTCATTCTAAATGGAAAACGAATGTCCATTCTCATTTTGTTTCCTAGGAGCAGCTTAAACATTCACAATGCAATTAGCCGGAAATTTCATATCAGCCCCACACAATTAAACAAGTTGAGAAAAGGGAAACAGCAAGATATTTTTCAAAACAAAATCTGACCTGTAGAAGCCACCCAATGGATCACTACCTATGCTGCCTGCCATAGCTACATTTAACGCAGGGCCTTCAATGGGCTTACTACCAAGCCTTGCCAAAGCCACCAGACTGTTGGAAAGAGATCCTCCAGCAGCTGCCTTATAGCTGCAACCATCCATCGCCCGCAAAACCCTACCCCTCTCCTCATGATTTACTACCTTCCTGGTTCCCTTCTCTAATCCCAATCTCTCCAAGAATTCATCATCAACCATGCCGGAAAAATCTACCTAAAGTTATCGGTACAGAAATTTTATAAAAAAGTTTAATAAATTTTTGCAACAAAATATGCAAACAAAAAATGTCAAAGGCTGCTAAGCAGGAAGTAAAATTAGAGTAAGCAATAAAAAAGGATAATATCAACAGGTGTTAAGAATATAAGCACCCATGTCTTACAATCAATTCTCAGAATTTGCAGAAAATCCAAAATATTCAACATTCACAAAATAACTAAAGCATACCAACTAAAGAGTTGAGTAACGAAAATTTTATTGAATTGTTATACCATCACATGAAGTTTCACCATACCGGTTTATGCCCTTAACAATCCCATTTCACAACTCAACTTCTTCAAATTCCCTTTTAAGTAAAGCTACAAATACAAACCATTAAGAACAACCCAATTGACACAGCAGATAATTAACCAAAATGTAGAATGGGAAACAGTTCTTCAACCCTTATCAAATTTTTTACCAGTTCTCAACGAACAAAGAAAATAGCAGAAATATCCCCAATTCGAACCAATTTTTTGTGAAAGTAAGGTTCTATATATGTTGTTATTATGTTTACAGCATGCATTTTGCTTCTGAAAGTAAAGGTTAAAAATGCAACCAAAATCCTAAATTAGGCATAACATCTTTTAATTAAAATTTTACCTGACTAAATGCATACTTTCATATACAGAGCAATTATATTTCAATGAGTATTATATTTAAACTATTAACTGAATCATGAAATATGATAATGCTTTGAACCACAATTGAAAAAAAAAAAAAAAGGAAAATAGCAAAAGCAGGTAGCTAAACTAACAATCAAAGCCTTAACAATTTAAAAGCAACAAAAAGGGTGGGAGGGAAAGGAACAAAAGAGAACATGGGAGCAAAAGTCCATTTTCCTTTCTAAGAAACGAAACAGAAATGTACTAAACTACATGGCTTGAATCCTTAACATTCAATTCTCTTGTCTTCCCCTATATTTTCCTAAAAAATAAAAAATCTCAACTTTAAAAGAATTATAAATTCAAAACAACAAAAACTATACGAAAAAAATGTTAAGAAATATACCATGGCTTGACCAAGGCCAAGAACATCCCATCTGTCAGGCAAAACACAAAATGACCCATGACCCTCTTCTTCTTCTTCCTCCTCTTCCTCCTCTCCTTTACTCTCAAATTCCTCATCTTTGCTACTACTGCAGCTACTACTCCCTCTAGAACTACAAAAAGAAGAAATCCAAAAAAGCCCAGCTTTCTTTTTCCCCATTGAACCAGAATTCACCCTCTCTGCGCCTTTCCAATCACCTAAAAACCCCAATCCTCTTATAATCTTCCCATTCTCATAACTTTGTTTGCGGTGATATAGGGAAGAAAAAGAAGAAGAATGGAAGTAGTTAAGAGAGAAATTTGAAGAGCAAAAAACGGAGTCAATTTGTGGAGGAGAAAAAATGGAATTAAGGAAAGACAAAGACATAGTAATTCCCTTGCAAGTTCAATATTTCCCTCTATTTTCTACTCTTCGTTTTATTAACTAAAATGGGATTTTTTTTTTTTTTTTGTTTACGATGGAGAAGTGAAAGCAGAGGCAAAGGAAGACACCTCCATCCAATCCACAAAGATTTGGGCGAAAATTAGAGAGAGAGAGATATTTAGCTTTGCCTTTCCCTTCTTTGTGCGTTGAGGATAACATGGAAAGTGTAGGATGTTTTGTCCTGTAACGCAATTTCATTGCTAGAAGGCCAACATTGGATTTAATTCAATTCATACATGATAAATACAATAGCAAACTAGAACATGATTCTTAATTAAAATAGAAAAAAAAAATCACTTGCTTGCCTTAAACAATTCTATATATAACCAAGTCAATTCCAAGACAAAACCTCCCACCCTCCAAGTTTGAAACAATTAATAATTTTGCATATTATATTAAAGATATAAATCTCTCAAAAAATTCCGGCATTCAATGCAAGTATATCTTGCCAAGCAACCCAAAGAACAAAAGCATGCTTAGGACTTTTCTTTATCTCAAACTGAAGTGGTAATGCAGAGTTAAAGACTTCCAAATAAGATTTTTTAGGTTAAAGTTCATAAAATTCTGATAATCATATATGTTGTAATAATAATATATATATGTATGATTAAAGATGTTGTTCATTAGTCTTAATTGGCATGCAATAATGTAAAGAAGTTTTCCTTTTGGAGACAAAAATGGAAGGCATGGATATTTGAACAAATCTGATTTTTCTATAAATTTATTTGGTCATGATTCACAACCTACTGGTTATCCATCTTCTCTATTTAATGTTTCAAATAAACCAAAGGCTTTTGATGAGAAGGATGAAAAAAATGGAAAAGATGCTTTATGAAACCTGATTCATACAAATCCATTGAGTTTGTTGATATCCAGTCTAGCATTCATCCCAAAATGTCTTACACCTTTGATTTTTATGTTAATAAAAAAGAAACCTGATTCAATGTCCATGAATGTTCTATATCCGTATGGGAATTAGAAGTTGACAAAGACGATTGGGGATTTTCATAGCAGAAGGGACTTTTTTTAAGTATTATTTTTCTTTTCTCAGTTTTTTAACCCATAATTTTGAAAAAAAAAAATTGTTTAAAAAATGCTGATGTGGATTTTATTGATATATCCCGTGACAGTTTAACAAATTTACATCATTATATGTTTTTTAATAATCAATCAAAATATTATATCAGCAAGTTAGACATTCATTTTTATATTTTTAACTAAAAAAATTTAATAAAATTAATAATTAGGTTAAGATTATTGAATCAATTTAGTATGAAGATTATATTTATATAAATTATATTATAAAGGTAAATTTTGAGTATGAAGACTAATAACATATTTTGACATTCGTTTTATAGGGAGCTGTTAGCAAAAGATTGGCATTTTCAAGTTCTCCACATAAATTGGCTAATTTGTGCTTCTTTTTTTTTTTATTTGCTAATGCGGCACATAGTGATTGCTTTGATTTGATGAAATTGCTTAATTCTCCTAATACTTTGTTTAGACTTATGCAAGAAGAATTAATGTGTATTATTAAACCTAAACCCTGCATTATTTAATCACTCTTATGTAAAAAAGTTTTTAAAGTACTGACCCTCCATTAATTAAAATTTAATACTTTAATTTGAAGATTTATATTATAGTTTTGATATTTACATTAAGAAATTAATTTATGAAACGAGATAATGCTATTTTTCTATAATATAACCTATGATAGATATATGAATTGTTTTGTATAAAAAAACGTAGTACCATATAAATTTACCCATATTATATATTACTGCTCATTTGTGAATTTTGAAAATTAAAAAATAAATAAAATTTGTTTAAGTTCCATAAATGTTTTAAAAAAGTGAATTCTATATTTTTGACGACATGTTAGAAATAAAATAAAATAAATCAACAAATATTAAAATTGATGAACTTAGATATATATTTTTATTTTCGTTATTTAATTTTTGGATATATCTTGGTTCATCACAAGTAAACTTGATAATATAAAATACGATACAATGATATGATATAAATATGACATGAATGTAAAATATAAAGATAACATAATTTAAAATTTTAATAATTATTATATTTAAATTTTAAAAATAATTTTTTTATAATTTTATATTAATATAAATTATAATATATAATTTTTATATAAAATATAATAAAAATATATAAATTTTAATATTTTACATTAGATAAATACGATAATCAGCTCTGTTACGTGCTTTTTATAGTTAGTTCGCACTGTTATTATTCAATACGAGGGGCCCAATCCAAAATCGATTAGTATTTATCCAAAAAAAAAAAAAGAGGCCCAAACCAAAATCGTTGTCGCACCATACGATAGCCACGCGTCAACTTGGAAATATAGAACCATCCCGAAACTACGCTACTCTCGGCAGCACCAGATCAAACACTTCAATTAAGTCCGCTGGAGATCTTCTGCATGATCACCCTCTCTCGTTACAAGAACAGAGGCAATCCAGAGAAAAAGGAAAAAAAAAAAGAAAAAGGGAAAACAAATTGTATCCAGGTAAGTGATCCGGCAGCGTTTTATCTTTGATCTTGTATTTTTATAATTTTTCTCTTAAATCCCTTTCACTTTTTCTCGAATTTTCTTTGAATCCAAACAGCACTCCATTTCTGCCTCCTTCTCTCATCTCTGCATTTACATGTTATTTTCTTTTAAATTTCTTTTGTTAAAGAACTTAAAGGTGATTTGAACTAATTTATTTTCCTAATTAATTCTCTCTTTAAAATTTTGCTGAATTATCACGTTATCTTATTAAAAATTACCTCTCAGGAATTTTTTTAATTTATCAAATTTTAACTGAGAAATGAATTAAATTTTAAGTTAGATTAATCAGATTTGATCTGTTAATTTTGATTCTTCATATTTTATAAATTAAAAAAAATTATAGATTTCTCTTGTGTATTTGTAGTTAAAATGGAAGGGAGTTTGATTTTAAATTTATTAATTTTATTTGTTTGTCGGGTGAAATTCTATAGGGGTTTGAATTTGTGTAGAATTTGAAGTAATTTTTTTGAGCATCAATGGACCTTGCTGAACTAACCACTTAACAGGTTGGTGATCTGATCACTTCATTTGCTTTATTAGTTATATAAGTTTATATAAAAAGTAATTATTATTGAGTTTCAAATTTTGGGTTTTTTGCTGTCGAAATTCGAAAGCTTTAGGGATCATTTGGTTGTTGCTTTTGTTATTTTCCTGCTGCTTTTTTGGAGTCAAAATGTAGAAAGTGGGGTTGGACATAAAAGCAAATGATAAATTTGAAGAATCCGACATTAAAATTGTAAATCATTTTCCTGCAAGAATTAGATGTTAACTTTTCATGATTTACGGGTGATTTGAGTTGGTTCCATTGGCGGCTTCTTTTTATTTTGTGATTGAATGCCAAAGTCAGTCATTTGTACGTAAGTTGTATTTTATTTTTAAAACCCTGAAAAACATGGAGCTTCTAAAAAAAAAAGGTTAGGTTTTCTCCTCATGAACTGCTTTTTTGAGCTACATTGGTGCTTGGGTTCATTTAGATGCTTCAAATTGTTTGTTTGTTCATCTCATCATGGGTAGCAAACCACATTATTATTTTTTTTTTTAACTATCATATCGTTATTTGCTTTTTTTTTTTGTTTAAAATTTCCTTGATCTTAATTTGTTGAATATTTTATCCCGTGTTATATTGTTCCTTTGGTTTCCTGGTTCAAAGAATCTACATTATTAATTTTTTTAGCCGCTTTCGAAGATATAGTTAATTATGAATGGTTGCTTGTTAATGATGATTCCATTTTGATTAGTGTCTTTTTCTGTTTTAAAGGTTCTGAAGAGGGACATCCCGGGGGAAACATACATGATGACTACGTTGATTTCAGGAACTGGCCTTCAGCTGTTAAGGCGTTATGATAATAGAGCTGAAAGTGTCAGGGCACAGTTGTTGGATGATGTAATGTTTTATAGCTCTTCTTGACTTATGAGCTGGGTATTATCTTGTGTATATGTTCCTTCTTTCCCCTCCAGTTAATTCAATGGTTTTATTAACTTCTCTTCCAACATAAACTGAATCAGGTTTTGAAAACCTAACTATAATTCTATGGGAAAATCTAATAGAACTAAGGATAAAAGAAAGATTTTATGGAGTATTTTGATTTGGTGAAATTGACTGTGACTGGGTGGTCCATCATATGTTCGAGTGTTTGTTAGCATATTACGTGATATAATTAAGGAAGAAACAGTGGAATATGTTCTGGCTTTAACTGATGAAATGCTTATAGTTATTTGAAGAATATTGATATTGTGACAACGCATTCATCATTACTAAATTTACTTACCGTTATTTTCTATTGCAGTCAATCCAAAACGAGCCAGATTATTTCATGACAATTCTTTTGCAAATGAAGATAATTATGAACCTTTCCTAAGTTAGGTTTTTACTCAAAATTGTTCTCAATGTTAATCTGTGGCTGATTTTTTTGTTTTTGTGTGTGTGTGTGGATAATTTAGGTGGCTGATACTCTTTAATCTTTGAATGCTCAATTCACTAGTAGTACTCTAATACGGTATATAGTGTCTGTTTGATGATTGGTTTACAGTTAGAATCACCTTTCTGAATGATATATTTATACTTATTGGGTTCAGTTCTCCTTTATTGCATTTTTATTTTGACTCTAAATTGAGTTGGTTCATTGGCGCTGAATCTGCTTGTGACTCAATCAGGCTTATATTGTTAGTGATGGCTATGAACTTTTTTTTGTTAAAAAGTAGGTGTTGGACCCTTGAAGATACAATAGTTTTGTCCTTTCTTGCTTGAGGTTGTTTGGTTTATTTTCATAGGATTTAGGCCCATCTGAGTGATGAGCTTGTACAAGTATCTGGATTCTTCATGTCTTGCTTATAACTGAATTTTATGTGATTCTTTGTTATAAGTTGTCTACCTAGATGTAAATAAATAGTAAGCATTTTTTTTGTGAGTGTATTTGATATCATGCTTGAAAATATACACGTATTGCAACTGGTTCCTCATCTAAATTTTTGGGAAACGTTAGGTGGTAATCTCACCTAAAAGATTCTAGTTACCATATGGTCAGCATACATGGTATCTATAAGGAGCATGTGCTACTTTTGTCTGCCTGCCAGCTGCAAGAGATTTTGGATGCAAATAACTTGCATCTTGAAGATCATCAAGCATCTGTAATTGAATTATATATGGCTATCAATGTCATATG